CAACTGCTAGACGCACTGCAGACCCTGCTCGGAGCGTTCGTACCGATCGCTAGTGGCAAAAGGTGTGGTGCGCTGCTGGGATAACCAGGACAGGGAAACCTAAGGGCGATTCTACCTGTACGCAACTACCACTACCAATACTTCTACTACTTCTCCTATTTAGATGTCCCCAAGGTTATTATTATTATTTTTATTCGATGCTTGCTCTACTACCAATACTTCTACTACTTCTTCTATTTATATGGTAACAAAATTAAGTTTCTTTTTGATGCTTGCCTGTTGTCCGAGCCCTCACTAAATTTAGTACAAAAGGTTTTTTTTGATGCTTATAGAGTTTTTTTTGATGCGCCGGGCGTAAGTTTTTTTGATGCTTATAAAGTTTTTTTGATGCCTCACCCCAGATATTTGGGGTCAACTTAACATGTGCAAAGACATTGTATGGCCAGAAGCCGTAAGATGGGTGCCAAGGCAAACAAGCCCCAAACAGGGAGTACTTGGCCTCTGCAGCCTGAAACGTTACATGCCTGCCTTGGCTGGCACCCAGCACAAGATTAATGATTCGTTGATGCGGCAGCAAGATACTCGGTGAGCCGATCGATCAGGGAAGGCATGCAGGCGTTACCACGGCTGGCTGTTGGTGCAGGGCAAGCAGTTCTTCTCTCAAGCCGGAACAAACGTGCTCAGGCGAACAGTGGCGGGAAAGGAACCATTCAGGCCCAGGTGAAGAAAACGGGGACCTGCGCGTGCATTGCAGCTGTGAGGCACTGGGAGACAAAATCATCCTTAGCAAGCTGCTGGAAAACCTTGGTGTTCCGCAAATGCCAGTGCTTGGACCCCAGCTCTTTACGGGATGATGAGCCAAACACACTTTTGCTTGTCTCAGGCTCCTGTCAACTTACACCAAAGTGGACAAGGCTGAGGCAATGCAAAACTTTCACGGCCATACAAGTCCTGCAGCCTGTTTCTTGGGAAGGGGAGCCCCTAAAGGTTGAGAAACTTGTTTCGTCCTGGACGCGAAGTAGTGACCCAGAAGTGTATGACGTCGTGATCAAGCCGCTGTCGCTCAGCTTTTGCGTTGTGACTCACTTGGGCAACGAGCCCTGCCCCATTTCATTCTCACGCCATTCTGTCAAGGACACACCTGAGCAGCGCTATGGGTGCCGTGATCATGTCAAAAGCCAAATGGGACAAGGCTTCTGAGTTATGTGTGGGATGTTTTTCGACGGTGCAAGTGGATTGCAGGAGCAGTGGAGTGCCCAGAAGCTGATCGAGCACATGGAGACATACCTGGAGAAGAAGGCAGCGGACAGCGAGAGTGAAGCCCACAGCTCAGCAAGGGATTTCGAAGGTTTTTTAGTGTGCCCTTCCGTGGCTTGCCCCTAGAGCCTTTGAAAAGTCAATTTGGAGATTTATCAGACAAGTCACGAAAGCTAGCGGAGCTAGGCTTGAGTTTAGTCTTGCTTTAGCAGTAGTGGCTGTCAAGGTCTTGAAAGCGACGGATCGTGTGATATATCACAGGATGGGGGGGGGTGGGGGGGGGGGG